TTTGATCCAAATATGTTGAGCTTATAATAGAACTTTCTTTTCTTCACGAACTCACCTTCGGTGGGTTTAATGTGTTCGCCCTGGTCCCTCCTTGTACATGTGCACCTCGACTTAGGACAAAAGCCCAAAGTTGAAGGTGGCTACTACAGAAACTGACCTTGTCTTGGACCTAACCCAACATTGGGTAATGTGTACCTCGATTCATGACAAAGCCATAATTTGAGGATGACTATTATGAGTGATGACCCAAAAAGTGGGTATGAAAAGAGTAACGTCGAAAATAAAAGAAAAACTGATCAATAGAGGTGACTTAGTCAAAATTATCAATTGAATGAAAAGAGAAAGAAAATAAAGAAAATAAGTGAACAAAAAAAAGCAAGAGTCACTTCCACAAAGAACAAACGGGAGAAACGAAGAAAAGATGAAAATAAAAGAAAAGTAGGGCATAATAGATAATGAAAGAGGTAGGACCCTTAGCCGTAATGTCAAGGAGGGAAAAAAGTCACCATACGTGACCCTGAGCCTACGTTACAAGCCAAGAAAGTCTTATCGTAATCCTAGAGTCTAATGTGGTGAACTTAAGTAGTGAAAATAAGGGCAAGCCTATGGCGACAAGTTTTAGCTATGTTTGAACTTGTTTTTGAGTGTGAGTTTTGAATACAGATCCTTGTATCCAAAGTTATAATCACTGTGCAAAAAAGGAGGATATCTTTTGAAGTGAGGGCACTAGTTGCAATATCGGAAAGTTGGTGCCTTGGTGAGAGGCATAAGAGTAGAGGTGCATCTCCATGGTGAGTTTATGTCATGTTCTGATCCACATGAGTTAGGTTATCGAACCTAAGAGTAGAAGCATGCACGAAAGCAAATAAAAAGTTGGGATTGATAGCCATGTTATTGCAGAAGCTTAAAAAGTATACCTTTGCACAAAGTGTTTTGTTGAGTCCTAGTGTGTCGCTTGAGGACGAATTTTAGTTGAAGATGTTGATCTATCGTGGTCTCGCGGTACTTTCAATGTTTTTTCCTTAAGATTTGTGTGTGTGTAGAGCCTTTTTGTAGTAGTTTTAACATGTTTTTATCTTTGTTTTGTAGAAAGATGTCCAAACCCAAAATGTCGAAGGCAACTGAGATTTAGTTCAGAGGTGACCCACGAAGTCCATCCATGGTCCATAGTTCCATCGATGGACCTAAATGGTAACCTCGACTGATAGTTCAGGCATCTGGAGAAACTCGAGGAAATCTAACCAAGTGTGGTGCTGCAGAAGGATCGACGGACCGTCCTGTTGAATCATCAAAAATTCAGAGATAGTCCCACTGTCCTAAGTAGAAGAAAGTCTAAGTATGGAAGAACTAAAGACATCGACGAACCGTGTTGTTGCTTCGTCAATTGATTTAGAGAGGATGCCAGCTGAAGGATGATAAAAGTGCTAAGTCTGGACTGATGGAGGCAATCAACGGTTCGTCATTTCATCAACAGACCGTCTGTGGAGGTCGTCGATTACAACTGCGTTTTTGGACAACTTTCCTTATTCTAGATTCTTATAATTTAGGACTATTTTTTCTATAAATAGGGTGTAAAACCTTGTTTTTGGGGTTGGATTCTATTACTATTGTTCTTAGTTTGTTTTTGGAGATTGGGTTTTGCAACTTTAGAATTAATTCAATTTATGGATTTGGTTTTCAAATGATTTCTTGTTATTTCAAGTTGAATTTCTGGATTTTCTTCGAATTGTCAAAGTAAGTTCATGTTATATTTTTTAACAACTATGAATTGTGTTCTTATATGCATGGGTAACTAAATTCACAACTAGGATTGTGGGAACCATGGGTAACTAACAAAGTAGACCTAGCTTGATAACAATTCTCAAATAGGTTATTGCATGCCTTGATAATTCTTTTGCTTAGAAGTCTTATTAATGAGTGCACGTGTTAGAACTCGCCTTGTTGCTACTTGCCGGACCAAGGAGATAGTAAATAAGAAAATAATTATCAACATAGATTTAGTGGGATACTATCTAATATGGTAGTATCGATTGGTGCAAAGTAATAAATAAGCCATACATCAAATTTGATGTTTAATATGACCGTCCAATAATAGTTTAGGCATCTGGAGAAACTCAGAGAAATCTGACCAAGTGTGGGGCTATCGAAGGACCAACGGTTCGTCAATTGATCGATGGACCGTCCTTTTGAATCGTCGATAAGTTATAGTCCCACTACCTGAAGTTGAAGAAAGTCTAAGTATGGAATGACGTAAGGCATCGACGAACCATAGACGCATCGACGGACCGTGTTGTTGGTCCGTGAATTGATTCAGAGAGAATGTCAGCTGAAGGATAAAAAAGGTGCTAAGCCTGGTCTGACGAAGGCAGTCGACAATCCATCGTTTTATTGACAGACCGACTGTGGGGGTCATCGATTACAACCGCATTTTTGGCAACTTTCCTAATTTTAATTCTTTTTAATTTATGACTATGTATTCTATAAATAAGGTGCAAAAACTCATTTTTGGGGTTGAATTCTATTACTATTGTTCTTAGTTAGTTTTTGGAGATTGGGTTTTGCAAATTTAGCATTAATTCAATTTCCAGATTTGCTTTTAAAGTGATTTCTTATTATTTGAAGTTGAACTTCTAGATTTTCTTTGAATTGTCAAAGTAAGTTCATGTTTTATTATTTAACAACTATGAATTGTGTTCTTATATGCATGGGTAACTAAATCCACAACTAGGGTTGTGGGAACCATGGGTGATTAACAAAGTATATCTAGCTTAATAACAATTCTCAAATATGTTATTGCATTTATTGATAATTTTTTCGCTTAGAAGTCTTTTTAACGAGTGCACGCATTAGAACTCGCCTTTTTACTACGTGCCGAACCAAGAAGGTAGTTAATAAGAAAACATTATCAACATAAATTTAGTGGGATACTATCTAATAGGCTAGTATTGATTGGTACGAAGTAATAACTAAGTCATACATCGAATATGATGCTTAATATGAAATAAAGGTAAGGGTTAGTAGCTTATGCACACGTAACCGGACCAAGGTACGGAGTGAATTCTCTAAATGCCGGACCAAGGATTTAGAGATACCTAACTTATCACTTTGCATGCAAAAGAGTAGGGAAGAAATGTTATAGTTACAAATACGGCATTATGAACTTATGGGGAACACTTGTACCCTAGTTTCTCTCACAACTTGATAAAAACGAAAGCTTTGCTCCTGTTACTTGTTTTACTTAGAGATATTAAAAGAATTTCGTTTCACAAAATCCCCATTTAATTTACATGTTTCCATAAAGAACTTGACTAAATAGAAGTAATTGTGCATTGATGTTAAGTCTAAACTATTTTCCTCGTGGAATCGAACCCAACCTGCTAGTTGGACTTTTTACTTGATACTATCATTTATACTTCTTTAGGGAGGTGTAATTTGAGCATATCAGCTTGACATGGACTTGAAAGGGATTCTATGCGGAAGCCTCCTGGTTTCCCGGTAGTAAAACTATTACGCCCACGCATATGCTGACTCTCTATTATGGTTATTTGAAGAGAAGTGGAGTATTTGTGAGAGTTGCAAAGACAAAACATCACACTAAAAAAAAGGGAGAGGGTCCCAATTGGGGGAAGTATGAGTTTAATGTCAGTTTATCAAAGCAATAAGCATTTAATATATAGGTGAAAACAGTAACACATAAACAATTATATAAAACAGTAAAAATAAATAAATAGATAAATAAGCAAGCAAACACATAAAAAAATTAATCAAATAAGGAAAGAGAATAACAATCAACATGAAAATAAACACTATAAGGAAAACAAATAAACAATGAAAGACAGATAACAATTTAGCATGAAAATGACCAACAAGCAATAAAATAAATCTCACATAAAGCATGAAACACGTAATGGTAAGAACCTAATACCCCAGCAGAGTCATCATTCTATCGCGCCCCATTTTTCATCTAAACAGGTTTTGTGCATGACCTAACAACTCTTTTGGGATTTTGGTTATTGAAGAGTCCCACCTAACGAATTAAGGAGCATTAGAGTATCTATCTAACATATCTAAGTCTAACTAAGGTCAACGAGCCAGAGATCAGGGTAAGGGTTCAAATTACCTCGAGGAAAAGGTGTTAGGCATCCCTTGAAGTCTACAAATGTGGGTCCAAGCCGTATCTCATGCAATTTATGTAGGGGGTACGAATAACAAATGAGGTCACTTCATTTATTATTTATTTAATTTAAAACAGGTGACGAGGTGATAATATTAAATAGTAAGAGTACCTTTGTTATTCTAATTAATTAGTTAAGCATGAAAAACTAGGTGATAACATAAATAATAAAATACTAAGAAATTAATAAAGAAAGGCGAGATGACAGAAATTGCACGAATAGATATAAAAGATAATTTTTATTTTATTCATTAAGCTACCCCCAAACAAGCATAAAATGTGTAAGAATAAAGCTTTGAAAATTGAGCAATTTATGAATAGGTTCTTATTTTTTTTTAAAAAAATGTTTGTTTCTTTATAGGGGTAATGCCACGATATTGTTAATCATGCTCCTCCACCATAGAAACAGTTTTTATATGAGTGGCCTTGTAAAATAATGATTGATATTTTTGAAGACGGTTGAAAAGCTTTGATTTACATATAATCAGATAAATATTTACATATAAATATACATAATCCTTTTTTTAAAAAAAATCTTGGGTAGGTGGTACTCCCTGGGGCGCTAGTTTCTTTGACTTTCCCGCTAACTATAGATTAGGACATATGCTTATTGTATAATTTTAAAAGCATGTCATGTCCAACCCAAGCTTGAAAAAAACAATTAAACAATGAATTTAACAAAACCAAACGATCATGTATAGAGTTTGAAAAGTCAACAGAACATAATGCAGACAATAACATAGTATAGGAGATTGTTGATGAAAAGTAACAATCATATACAAAATGTAAATCAAGTTAAAATCGTCATCTCTAGTATTTTCTTCTCTTGGTGACTCTTGTAACTTGGTGACTCTTCTAAATCTTGAACCTTAAGTTCAAACCTGCTAATCAAAAATACTAAAGATAAGAGATCATAATTGTATATATAGAAACACAGAATTATTCATGGCCAACACACGAGTTTCAACATATAAGACCACTCATTGAGAAAAAAGATAAGAATACTACCCGGATGTTTCCTACATCACCATAAACCAAATAAATATGGATGCAAAATTAATATAAATGCTAAATAAGAACACTAACCAATTAAGTAGAAAAGATTATCAGTAATGGATGGTCCAAAACTTTACTAGAGTTCTTACTTCTTTTCAAGAGTAGAGAGCAATATTTTTTTTCGTTATTATTCAAAAGTGAATCAAAGTGAGAGATGAGAGTTAAGAATAATGTAGAACTTCTCTTTAATGAAAAAGAAAGGGGCCCTATTTATATAGCAAAGAGGGGAATGATTTACAAGGAAAAAGTATATTTTAAGGAATCAACTTAATAATATTTTTCTTATTTTAAAGGAGAGTCAAATCAGACAAATAATTATTTTTTTTAATCAAATTTTAGCAAGTAAGAAAAATTAGGAAGAGTAATATTATTTTTCTTAAATAATGAAGAGTCAAATCAGATTTTATTATTAATTTATTTTACTAAATATATGAGCAACTAAATATGACAAGAAAATAATTAAGGTTGTCATAAACAAACAAGGAAGAATGAATCAAGACAAATACTAATGGGAGGAGGGATCAATTAATATTATTCTTTTCATATTTTAACAGAAAGCCAAAACGGATACATTTTAAATTATTTTTTACCAAATACGAAGGCAGGCAAGAGTAAGACAAATATATCAATTAAGGAGTCACCAAATTACTAAGATTTCTAGCCCAGATCGAATGAACATTCACAAACAATACTGACTTACCGTAGTTAGATGAATGAGCAAATTGACAAGAAAATAATTGATTCAGCTAAATAAGTGAATGACCCATTCAGCAAACAAAACAAAAGATTAAACTATTATTATCTAGATTAACACAAGAACAAGTATTAAGACATCATTTTATTCAATTGATTATGAATTAACTTATATGAAGAGCGTTGAAAATTGTCCGACTAAAATACAATATCACATAGTATTCAAAACCTAAAAGATCTGTCAATCACGATGATTATTTCAGAAGACCCAAGCTTTTACCATAGATATGGGCATCATAATTGACCAAAGAAAAGGACTGAGTAATGATTTAGCATATCTGAATTAATAAAATTAGCAAGCATTCATGGCATAGTAGAAGCTATTAAGGAAGTTAAAAAAGAATTTAAACACGGATTCAAGAAGTGAAACATGGATTTTGAGATCAAATCAGCCCATACACACATTGATTTGAGACTAATAAAAAAAATTGTACCTTGGACAGATCTTTACTTATCCAAATTATTCTCTTTCGATGTATCCGTCATTTTTTTGACGAAGTTGCTGACTAGTTGGAGTTTGCCTGACCGGAGCTGCTACAAGTTAAGTCGCTGCTGCTTCGTCAGAAAAAGGGTGGGGATGAGTGGGCTACTTTGGTCTGACGGTTGTTTGTTGTTGATTTCCTGCTGAGTTGTTGTTGTTGTCCCACGGTTGTTGTTGCTGCTCGGGGAAAAAGAGAAGATGAGGAGATGCGCGAGGGAGAAGAGAGGGGAAGAGGGAGGTGGATAGAGGGAGAAAAGGTTGTCATCGGTCAGAGAAAGAGAATAGGGTGAAGAGAGGGGCAGTTGGAGAAAGGAGACGCCTGCTAGAGAGACGAGGGGCGACGGCTGGAGATGGAGAGAGAAGAATGAAATGTTTTAGGTTTTGGTCTTTTAAGTTAAAAGGAAAGTAGAAGGATCAAATCTTGACCATCGATTTAATATTGAGTGGACGCACACGATTTAATCTTTAGATAATCTGATTTGGGTTAGACGGATGAGATTAAAATAGATAGGTCTTAAATAAGATGGATTGTGTGTAAGATGGCCAAAATTAAAATAAGTTGTCTAGAATTGAAGTGAAAGGGTGCCTATAATTGAAATAAGATTTGAATTGGAGTGGTTAGAACAAAAAGAAATTAGAATAGAATGGACTAAGATTTAAATAATTTTGAGATAGATCAAGGAATATAATATCCAATTAAAATATTACAAATATTATAAATTTTTTATATAATTAAAATCACTTAAATTTTATAATATTTGACTAAAACAATTATTTCAGAATTTATTAAACATTTTTAAAAAAAATATTTTAATAATATTTTCAATAATTTTATAAAGTAAACATACTAAAATGTAAAAAATTTATGCAAAATCGACTAAAATATAGAACTTAAAATAAAATTTTAAATATGTATTTAATCGAATAGAATTCCTAAAGAGTTAAAGGTCAGTCAAAATTGAGTGTCAAAATGGATGAATAGTAGGATGAATATTATGTAATTGATCTTGTAATGATTTATTTACTTCAATCCTGTCATTATTTATGCCTAAATCATAGTATTCTAGGTGTGTTGGTGATTTATGATTCATGACCTTGAAGGACAAATTATGAAGGTTGATGTTTAATCATGATGCTTATGTATATGCTTTATGATTCCAATTAAAGTAATGTGATCATGACTACAATGCAATTGTGATGCTGTTGAAAGGTTATTCTCAATTATACACATTTGAATGATGGTGATATGTTGTGAAAAATTTCTTCAATGTAATGTTATACTTTGATTTATAGGCTTAGGACATTCTCTTCTTGTGTAACTAATGTATCTTGACTTAATAAACATTGAATCGGTAGACCTAAGGGTGGTAGCCCTTTCAAGTAATGAATAATGAACATTGAATAGGTAGACCTAATGGTGGTATCCCTTTCATAAATGATTAACAAAGTATTCTAAAGATCTACTTTGGGTCAGTAGGCTAATAGCACTCTTCTATGAATGATAACGATGAACCTTGAATCAGTAAGCCTATGATACCCTTTCATGAGGATTCAATGAGCTTTCCTAATAATGTACCTTTAATCGGTAGACTTGTGACACCCTTTCATGTGTTAAATAATGTACCTTTAATCGATAGACTTATGACACCCTTTCATGTATTAAATATTATACCTTTAATCGATAGGCTAATGACACCCTTTGTGTGAATCAATGTACTTTGGGTCAGTAGGCCAATGGCACCTTCTCATGTGTAATAATGTTAATGAGAATGAACTACTCTATGGGAAGTTAAAGCTTAGCACCGAATGAATATTGTAAGGTGGAAGTTGTCCCATGTTAGGTCAGATTTCAATGAACACCTTCCTTATCTCATAACATAGTGTCTGCATGCATAGGTTATTAGCTAGTGGATCCACCTAAGATAAATGTTATTGATCTTAGCTTAGGCAAGTAGACCAACCATTTACAGTGTGAGACATATACCTAGTTTCGTGATCTACTCACATGGTCTATGTTGGTTAATGCTTATTCCCATCATGTGAGTTATGTGTTATGGTTACTTAAGAGGTTTCATGAAGTGTGAATGGTAGTATGAGATGTCATCCATGCATTGCACGATTAGGCTTTGAGAATGTTATGGAACGGAGATGTCATGACCCAAATCTGGGCCGTGACTGGCACCCACACTTACCCTCCTATGTGAGCGAACCAACCGATCCAAACTCTAACATTTCAATATAATATCAACATAAAGTAATGCGGAAGACTTAAACTCATTAATAAAAACCAATTCAATAACTATTATTTCCCCAAAATCTGGAAGTCATCATCACAAGAACATCTATGATCAACTTACTAAACTAAGACTATTCTAAAAGCTAAAACAAGTAAAAGCTAGTCCATGCCGAAAGTTCAAGGCATCAAGACATGAAGAGGAAGATCCAGTCCAAGCTAGAAGCTTTAGCTCACCCTGAAATCTGGTGTGTTGAACACTGGCTAGAGTTGTTGTTGAGTCGAAGATGACGGAACGTTTGCTGCACTCCACAAATAAACAAGAAGAAAACATAAAAGTAGGGGGTTTGTACACAAGTATTGAGTAGGTATCATCGGCCAACTCAAAATAGAAAACAGTATATATTAAGCAATATCATAAAATCAACTAATATCCTTAGCATGCAGCATTTACAATTACCATAACCCTTGGTTACAACACCAAGCTCATCAATGAGGACTCACGCCTCCTCATCATACTTATTTGGGAATTAGGTTCATTAGATTGATTATATTAACATCTTTCAAGATTCATTAACTTTATTCCTCTCGTGTCGGTACGTGACACTCCGCTCCTCAATATACTATCCTGGTGTCGGAATGTGACACTCTGATCCTCATTCTATCCTGGTGTCGGAACATGACACTCCGATCCTCATATACTATCCTGGTACCGGAACGTGGCACCCGATTCATATATTATCCTGGTGTCGAAACGTGACACTCCGATCCTCATATTCTATCCTGGTACCGGAACGTGGCACCCGATCCATATTCTATCCTGGTGTCGGAACATGACACTCCGATCCTCATATTCTATCCTGGTACCGGAACATGGCACCCGATCCATATTCTATTCTGGTGTCGGAACGTGACACTTTGATCCTCATATTTTATCCTGGTACCGGAACGTGGCACCCGATCCCTAATCTCACTACTTTCGTTCATCAAACCTTCCTTTATACCAAGGCATCATCATTAACAAAGTAGATTAGGGTTTCTTTTTCAAGATTTAGGATTCAATAGCTTCATCATGCTTATTTTATCACAATTACATAATCACATTCATGCAAGCATACAATTAAGTATATAGAAGGGTTTACAATACTACTCATACATATCATTCGCTATTAAGAGTTTACTACTAATAGTATAAAAACCATAACCTACCTCCACCGAAGATTTCGTGATCAAGCAAGCAATTCCTCAAGATCTTTGCTATCCTCTTCGATTCCCTTTTTCTCTCGTTCGATCCCCTCTCTTTTCTTTTTGTTCTTTCTATTTTTCTTATTCAAACCCCCTTTCTTTTACCCTAATTAACATGTAATTAAGTGTAAAAGATGACAATAATAATCCACAATTTAACTCAAGGTTACCTCTTTTATCCCCCAAGAAATTGAGTTATTAATATAAACCCATGAAATATATAATTATAGCAGGAATAGTCCAAAACGCCCCTTTAAAACTTAACCAGAAATCCAACTCCGATTGGGATTACGCAACCTGTGACGGCCCGTCGCGCCTGCGACAGTCCGTCATGCAGGTTCGTCAGAGACTCGATTTCCTTAAGGAGTCTGTGACGGCCCGTCGTACCTACGACGGTCCGTCTTACACTTCCGTCACGACGTTCAGAGAATCTTTCCCTGTACCAAATTCTCAAGAGTTGAAGTGTTTTGAAACGGCGGATCACGACGGTTCGTTGTGCCTGTAACGGTCCGTCCTGCAGGTCCGTCACAGAGTTCAGAGAGTCGATTTCAGCACTCAAATTTCAGAATTCTCAAGTGTTTTGGAACGAGACACCCTCGACGGTTCGTCGTGCCCATGACGGTCCGTCGTGAGGTCCGTCATCTCAGCCAGTTTTTCAGAAATAAAATCTGCTGCTCAAAACGACTAAACAGGTCATTACAATAGATACCAATTTACCCATCGTTCGTCCCCGAATGATCACAAGAAGGAAAACAAGGGCGAAAAGGAGTACCTGAATCTGTAAACAGGTGTGGGTATCTTTCTTGCATAGCTGCCTCCTTCTCCCAAGTGGCTTGTTCAATCGGTCGATTCTTCCATTGAACTTTGATGGATGCAATCTCCCTTGACCTCAACTTGCAAATTTCTCTATCTAGAATAGCAACAGGTTCCTCCTCATAGGACAAATTCTCATCAAGCAAAACGGAATCCCAACGGATGATGTAGTTTCCATCCCCATTGTATCTTTTCAACATAGACACATGAAACACCGGATGCACTCCGGACAGCCCTGGAGGCAAGGCTAATTCATAAGCCACCTCCCCCACTCGCTTAAGTACTTCAAATGGTCCAATATACCTTGGACTTAGCTTACCTCTTTTACCAAACCGCATCACCCCTTTCATTGGTGAAACTTTCAACAAGACTTGTTCCCCCTCCATGAACTCTAAGTCTCTAACCTTTCGATCTGCATATTCTTTTTGCCTACTTTGCGCCGCTAGAAGCTTTTCTTGAATAGATTTCACTTTCTCTATCGAATCCCTCAAAAGATCAGTACCCCAAGGTCTAACCTCGAATGCATCAAACCAACCAATGGGGGACCTACATCTCCTACCATACAACGCTTCAAATGGAGCCATATCAATGCTTGAGTGGTAGCTATTGTTGTAGGAGAACTCTGCTAAGGGTAAGAAATTATCCCAATGGCCACCAAATTCTATCACACATGTACGAAACATATCCTCCAACACTTGAATCGTTCGCTCAGACTGACCATCGGTCTGAGGATGGAACGCAGTACTAAGGTCCAACCTAGTACCCAATTCTGCATGCAATGTTTTCCAAAACTTAGAAGTAAACTGCGTACCTCTATCTGATATGATGGAGAGTGGAACCCCATGCAAACTAACAATTTCTAAGATATAGATTTTGGCTAACTTCTCTGCATTGTAAGTCACCTTGACCGGAAAGAAATGAGCAGACTTAGTTAACCTATCAACAATCACCCAAATAGAGTCAAACTTCCCCAATGTCTTTGGAAGACCAACCACGAAGTCCATTGCAATTCTCTCCCATTTCCATTCCGGAATGGGCATTCTCTGAAGTGTTCCTCCGGGCCTTTGGTGTTCATAC